AAACTATGGGAAGCAAAATGAGTGATGTTTGGAAGATGTTACAAGTTTGGCAGAGTAGATAGGACCAGACGACGACGAGAAGAAAAGAGTGGAGGTCAGTCCCCGGGAGAGCTAAAGTGTGATGGGCGTGTGACTGTAGGAAGGAGGAAAGTCACCTGGGACAGTAACTCTGACCCCTGCTGAGGGGAGTTGTAGACGCTCAGTGATGAAGTCATCATTTTGTGTGGCCCAGGATAGTTTCAAACTTGGGCTCTTCCTGTCTCAGCCTTCCAGATGCTAGAATTACAGATATGAGACACTCTGAACAGCCTTCCTTTAGGATTTAAAATATGCCTTTTACTCTCTAAATTCCTAGAAAAGAAAAAGATAAAGGAGGCTTCTCAGAGCAAAATCTGTAAAACACCCAAAATGTGTGAGTAAAAACTGTGGACCGAGGCTGACCGCCCAGTGGCGGTAAGTCCCAGTGGGCGGCGTTTCTCCTCTAACCCCCCTCTTGGGCTAAGCCGGCTCCTAGCTAAATGACCTTCTTCCAGATGACAGTAGAGTCAGCACAATTATCTGATGGCTGTGGAGAATGAAAAAAGCAGACAGATTCCCGAGGAAGAGAACTTAGAGGGGGCCCCGTAACGCGATTGCCGCATTGGCGTCTTGGGCTCTGTTTGCAAACCCACAGATTTTATGGCCTGAACAATCAGACTAAAGACTGAGGTGCGGAGCTCTGCTCCTCGGGAGAACTAGACTGGGATAGCTTCACGTTCTGTGTACGAACCCTACTTGAACCCTGGACTTCCAAACCCACGCGGCAGCAAGATGTCTCATCTCTGTCCTTAAGTAGGTTGGACTAGAATCACCTACAGATTAGCATAGCACATCTCTGAGTTTGTCTGTGAAGGTATTTCCAGGCACAATTAACGAAGGGGGAAAACCCAAAGCTTTTGGGGCCCAGCTGACGTGAAATATGGCACAAGCTTGGAGTTTGGGTGCCATTCCTCTGGCCATGATGGGCTGTGGTTTTTAAAATGTTTCTCTCTCTCTCTCTCTCTCTCTCTCTCTCTCTCTCTCTGTTTCTCTCTCTCTCTTTTGGTTGTGAGCCTAGCCTTTAACAGCTGAGCCATCTCTCCATCCCTTCTCTCTCTCTTTTTTTAATTATTTTTATTTTATGTGTATTAGTGGTTGCCCACATGTATGTCTGTCTGTGTGAGGGTGTCAGATCCCCTGTTACAGACAGTTTGTGAGCTGTCATGTGGGTGCTGGGAATTGAACCCAGGTCCCCTCGAAGTGCTCTTAACCAATGAGCCAGTCAGTGGTGGCACACACCTTTAATCCCGGGACTCAAGAGACAATCAGACGGATTTCTGTTAGTTCAAGGCCACACTGAGCTATACAAAATTGATCCCGCCTAAAAGAGAACAAACAGCTCACACGAAGGTGACCTCAGCATCTGGCATCCCAGGGTTTGAGAGGCATAAAAGGAGGATAAAATTGTTCATGTGAGAGTGAGTCTCTAGCCTCGCTGAGGAGAGCCTAGCAGTCTGAGTGAATCTGAGGAGCAGTGACATCGGGAGCAGTCTGAGGATCGCCCCTTTGGTCTGAGCTGAGGTGACCGGCTGCTTTGCTATTCTGATCTTCCACCTGAAGTTTGAACGCCACTATCTGTCTCTGGGTCTCTTATTAATCATGCTACAGGACTTTAGTCTTATTATTGAAGGAAACCAAATACTGTGCTGTGGGTGGTGGGTAGAAGCATTCCAGTTTACTGTATTGACCCGACATTGTGCAGAAATTTACAGCCATATTGATTGGTCTGGAAATGTTAATTTTTCTCACTTGTGCAGATGAAATGTAGTATATTAACCATGTAAGGCCTTACCTATCTGGGTTCATTACAGGAACTAATAAAACATTTTCTAAATAACGAAAGAGAAAAGCAAAATCGCTGTTGCTGCTTAAATGGTCTAGAAGCGCCATTTAAAGAAAACTATGATAAAATAATAATATCTTAGAAGGATAAATCATATTGACTCCAGAGAGCCACATAAATATTTTATGTCAGGGCATATTTTCTTGTCTTATAGGAAAATTCTATTGAATTACCTTTCTTACATTCCTTTCTTACTCTAACCCAGTTTGCACATGTGTAAATAGGCATTGTTCGCACTCTTGGTTTTGAAACTTGAATTTTAAGGGAGAGATCTTTTCTCCAAATGCATCTCCGCAGCATCGATGTGCTTTGTCATTACTTAAAAACACTCTTTGCATGCATTTTGTCTTTAAGTATTATTGCAGTTCTTTACTCTGCAGAGTTTAGAGTCCTCATGCCATTCTCTACAAAGTGAGTATCCCGCAGGCCCGGTCCTTTGTCTTACACAACCTTACACAACCAAGTGTTCATTTAACTCTGCTCAGAAATGATTTAAAAAAAAAATCACAGGCAAGAACTGGTGAATTTTTAACTGGTATTTAGTAAATACTAGCAACTGTTGATATAAGTATAATATGAAATCTTTGCATCTAAGAAAGTTAAAACCAAGCGTGAAAGGCTTTGTAGCTTAATAACACTTCCGGAGACAGATCTATTGTGTAGCAATTAGCATAATATTTGGATTGCGGAGAAACTTCAGTTTAATGACTATAGCCCCTTTCCATCACACGTTCCATGAAAGCCTAAAGATTTTCAAGCGAACGTATTTCTGCTTAGGATTCTGCTTAGAAAATGCCCCTCAGAGCGTAACGTTTGAATCTCATGTCTTTGCAAAGGCTGAGTTTTAAAAATGTAACCCTTTGAAACGTTAACTCTGCCAGGCTTACCTACTGCCATTCTCCTTTAGCTTTGCTGACAGTGGAAATCTTCCACTAACAGCAAGTGAGCCTTCGCTGCTTTCCTGGGCCTCAGCATGTCAAAGGTGCATGCTTCTCAGTCAGCCTTAAAAAAAGACAAGACACCTTTAATCCCTGCTCTAGCAGAGGTGGGCAGATCTGCTCGAGGCTGAGTGGGTCTGTATGGTGAGTTCCTTCCACAACAGCCATCCAGGGCTGCAGAGCTAGACCCTGTCTCAAACAACAACAAAGAAAGAAAGAAAGAAAAAAAAAAAAAAAAAACCTTAAAACAACTCCTTAGCTTTGTTCCAGACTGTTGATGTTCATACATACTCACTACTTTTGATATATTTTTATAAAAAGATTTGCAGTACATAATAGAAATGACACATCTTAAAAACTGTCAATACGTGGGGGTTATGTAAATATAATACTCACACATTAGAAATTAAAAAATTAAATTCATTGTTTAAACCATCAGCACAGCCATGTATCAAATACTTATGCTTCTTCCCAAACTTTCCTGTGTCCCTTCGTCATCACTCACCGTGGGCCCCGCCTTCTCCTGGCATCACTCACCGTGGGCCCCGCCTTCTCCCGGCATCACTCACCGTGGGCCCCGCCTTCTCCCGGCATCACTCACCGTGGGCCCCGCCTTCTCCCGGCATCACTCACCGTGGGCCCCGCCTTCGTTCCTCAAGGAACCACTTGCTTTTGCTGCTATGGATGGGCTTGTCTTTTTGTCTTTTCTCTAGTTTTACATCAAGGGCACTACCTAGTGTATATTGTTTTGGGTCAGAGCCTCACCAGCATTATTTTACCTTTTGTGGTGTCCCTGTATTAAAATTGAGATGTGCGTGAACTGAAGCCTCTCCTTGACTGCCACATAAGTGTGTCTCCTGAGTATGTATATGTGTGTCATCCTGAGTGTTGCAGTTAATGTGTGTCCTCAACCTGAGTACTGTGGTTACATATGTGTGCCTTCTGAGTACTATGGTTACATATGTGTGCCTCCTGAGTACTGTGGTTACATATGTGTGCCTTCTGAGTACTGTGGTTACATATGTGTGCCTCCTGAGTACTGTGGTTACATATGTGTGCCTCCTGAGTACTGCATTACATATGTGTGCCTCCTGAGTACTGCATTACATATGTGTGCCTCCTGAGTACTATGGTTACATATGTGTGCCTCCTGAGTACTGTGGTTACATATGTGTGCCTCCTGAGTACTGCATTACATATGTGTGCCTCCTGAGTACTGCATTACATATGTGTGCCTCCTGAGTACTATGGTTACATATGTGTGCCTCCTGAGTACTGTGGTTACATATGTGTGCCTCCTGAGTACTGTGGTTACATATGTGTGTCTCCTGAGTACTGTGGTTACATATGTGTGCCTCCTGAGTACTATGGTTACATATGTGTGTCTCCTGAGTACTGTGGTTACATATGTGTGCCTCCTGAGTACTGTGGTTACATATGTGCACCGCTCTGTTTGGCAAAAGTCTTCCTTTTAATCAGATATATGGCATTTGTACAAATTCAGGAGCAGTTTTGTCAATTAATGTGTTTTCTAAAAGGGTTAATTTTACATGACTTTTAATGAATTACTGAGAATTTACAGGACAAGAAAAGATGATCCTTTCCTGATTCAACCCACTGTATTCAAGAGCTAAATACTTTTAGGTGTGTCCCCTCCTCCTCCTCTGCCTTCTCTTCCTTCTCTTTTTTTGTTTTTCAAGACAGGGTTTCTCTGTGTAGCATTGGCTATGCTGGAACTGTGTCTGTAGACCAGGCTGGCCTTGAACTCAGAGAGATCTGCCTGCCTCTGCACACTCCTGTGTGCTGGGATTAAAGGCGTGCAGTACCATGCCCAGCTCTGTATCATCTTCTTGTACTGGATGATGACCGAGGGCTCTGGAAGGCATGTCTTTATGGTCCTCACTGCCCCTTCCCCCCACTTAAAGCCATTAGCTGGGATGCTTCAGATTTCCTCTCTGTGATTGCTGATTTTTCTTCCATTAAAAATGGAGTGAGTCTTAGTACTGTCTGAATAGAAATCATTTTGGACATTTTTTTCTTGTGCTTCCTTAGTCAGTAGAAAGCCTCATTTGTCAAACTAAAAGATAAAGTATCATTGTGATTGAAGCTAAGTAAAAAGCTCATGCATTTGTTTGTTTCAGATCTCTATAAAAATGGACTCCAGAGGGCTAACTTTGTACCATTTATAGCTGTCCTGAAGGTAAGGAGAAATCATTTGCTTATCCATTGACTGAGATATGCAAGGGATCTCTGAGTGATTCTGTAGGAACATCTTGGTCTTGCATCAAGCAGAATTCATTTTCATATTGAGACAAGACCAGAAATATATATTTAAAAAACAATATTCCCCCATGTGTACATGGGGAAAATTATAAATATAGCCCAAATTATTTCCTAGCTGAAACATTTGGTAGTTTACATTTTATAAATCTTAATTTAAGGTTTGCTCATAAATATTATAGCAGAATGTTTAAACTTATACATTTATTTCTGAAAAAAAAATGTTTGGTGTTCTTTGTTTCCTTCAGGCTAATGGCCATTATTAACATGTTTTCGTAGCTATTAAAGTTGCTATTCTAGAACACCATTATTACAAAAATATTCTAATATATTTAAATGTGATTGCCATCAAGTTATCATGAAATTATGTCAAGTTGAGGCACATAAATAGTTTAAATATTTGTGTGTATCATTGCTGCATAGAGTTTAAAATAGTCTTCATTACAATATCATTAAGAATAAAATAGCCTCCTTTTTTACTGTTAATTTTAAGTAATTCCTACATGATTATTCACTAATTCTATATCATATCCATATTTCTTGAAAACCTACTGTGTGCAAAATGCCACACCAGTCAGAGTTAGTAATAGAATTATGAAATAGCAGACTTTTTTCCTTCCTTCTGTCCTTCCTTTCTCTTACTTTCTTTCTCTCTTTTTTCTTCGTTTTGTTTTTTGAGACAGACTTTCTCTGTGTAACAGTCCTGACTGTCCTGGAACTCACTCTGTAGACCAGGCTGGCCTTAAATTCACAGAGATCTGCCTGTCTCTGCCTCCTGAGTGTTGGGATTAAAGTTATGTGCCACCATTGCTTGGCTGAAATAGGGGATTTTTATCTCCTGGTCTTTATAATCTAGTCAAGAATGTAAAATGTACACAAACACTAAAGCATAAAGCAAAGTATATAGTTCCCAAATGAAGTACAATTATGTGCCAAATGTAATTTACCTATTTTTAGGTATTTAAATATCCTCAGTCCATAGCAACATATCTGAAAAAGAATAAAGTTTTACTTAGCAAAAACTAAACTTCAAAATTCCTTCCTATAAAGGAGTGGAAATGGCTTCAAGTACTCCTAAACACACAGTCACACAATCTCTTTGACATACACTTTAGCTGGATTATTGTTGGTGCCGGCACTAAGAAGAATTCAAACATCTGTTTCCATGTCCGATTTGTGGTTCCTGAGGATTTTAATTTCTCTGAGATATTTATAGATTGGGAGAAAGTGCTTTCAGAAGACCCAAACTGTCAGTAATGTCTCCCTTTAATATCCATGCTTTACACACAGGGAGAGGTAGATTTCCTGTATATTCCAAAGTAATATGCTGTACAAAGACACCAAAATACAAACAAGAAAAAAAAATTGGTACCTAAAATAGTATCTTCATATGATAAGCTATAGAAAGAGAAGGCTCACAGAACTTTGTCTATATTTTTTTTTTTGGAGGGGGAGAGACTGTAAACCTTGTTTCCCTTTTTGGCCAGTAATTTATCATAATTCAATACACAACACCATCAATAGACAACTAAACTGACTGAATTGAATTTCATTTTCATTTCATTTTCTGCTCTTATTTTTTCTGAAGAGAGAACAGCAGAGATGAATGATCCATAATTTCAAATTGAGCATGAACTGACATGCCCAAGAATCAAAGATTGCATTAGAAAATATCGAAAATGTCCAGTTCATTCAAAAGATGCCATATTTGCACCAGAACACAGTTGAGTGGAAAGATGCTAAAGATGGTTCTACTGGAACTCCTGTCTTTGTGCTGGCCAGTGTTTGGTCAACCTGGCACAGACTGGGGTCACTAGGATGAGTGAAAGGCGGCCTCGATCAGAGTGGCTGGGTGACGTGCCTGTGGGGCATGTGCTAGTTGCTAATTGATATAAGAGGGCCCAGCCCACTGTGGGGGGCACCGTCCCCAAGGCTGTATAAAAAAGCTGGCCAGCATGCTTCTCTTCACAAAGGCCAAATAAACCCTTTTCTTCCTTGAGATGCCATTGCAACAGAAAGCAAAGTAGGACATTGTGTTTGCATGAAGATTCTTTTGTGAGTGAAGATGGCTTCACCCTTAACTGAATGACATCTTGCTTATTTACGGTTGATAGTATTGGATTCTCATTTTGGCCCAGTCAGAAATGTGTAGCAGAAATCCACTTTAAAACACACAGAGGGGCTGGCAGTGTAGCTGACTGGATAAAGGCCCTGCTGGCAGGCGAGAGCCAACCCCAGGAATTGTTCTCTGACCTCCACATACCATGGCACCTGTGCATGATGCATGCAGGCACACACACACACACACACACACACACACTTACACATACACACACTCACACACACACATTCATACACACACACTGATACACACACTCTCACATACACTCACACACATATACACACTCATACACTCACACTCACACACATACACACACACTTACACACACTCACACACATACACACACACACACTCACATACAAAACCTTGTTTGTTTTTTTTACACACAAAGGCATATAGGAAGGAAGGCTCTGGAGCAGGAAGGAAGGAAAGACTTGACTAGTTACTCAGAGTACATGATGAGTTCCCTGACTCAGAGAACAAAACAAGATATGGTTTTTACTATCTTAAGAGAAATGAAAAAGTCATATTTCTAACACTGTGAAGGAGATGAATTGGATCTAAGATCAGAAGAAAAGTGAGCGGGTAGAAATGAAAGCAAAGGGGAATTGTTGAAGTGGAAACTATTTCAGAGACACCACCAGATCAGGAAAGCAGGTAGGGTATTGACATTCACTTGATTTGTGTGCGTGTGCCATGTTTGTGAGTGTGCATGGAATGTTTTTGCTGTTTGTTCATGATGGACTTGAGCTCATCCTCCTGCCTCAGCTTCCTGAGTCACTCATCATAATCATATGTCTGGAGAATAAAGACCTAAGGTTAAAAAAGAAAACAGGTTTCATAAAACAGAAAAGTCCAGATTTTAGTGTTCACTGTGTATTTGCCTAACTCCATCAAGAATAATAAATTTTTCTGTTGTATAATTTTACTCCAAGATCAAGCAAAACTCTATTGTCAGTAAGAAAAGAAATTAGTGGGGAAAAATCCTACAGTTGCTAAGAGATCTGCACGTTCTAAGTAGATACATAATAAAGCAGAGTGCAATTGTTCTTACAGTGTTATATTACAAGGTGTCAGGGCTGGACTCAGTGGTTAAGAGCGCAGCCTGCTCTTCCAGGGTACCCAGGTTCAATTCCCAGCAGCCACATGACTGCTCACATCCATCTGGAACTGTAGTGCACGGCACAGATGTGTACAGACATACATTCAGTCAAAATGTGGCACTAATTCTAACCATTACTAATAATAAAAACTCAGAGACAGATATTGGGGTTAAAGCTGAAGATCAGAAAAGCAAAGCAGCCAACCACTAGAGAGTCCTCACCTCCAGCAATGCTCAGATCAAAAGGCAGATCCTGTCCTCAGACTTGAGACTGCATCTGTCTCCACCAAACCTCAGACTGCCCTGAGCTCCTGTCTCCTCCAGCCTTATGTTCCTCTCTAGTGCTGGGATTAAAGGTGTGGGGATCCCAAGTGCTGAGATCACTATGTGCGAGCTGTTTCTCTTTTAGACAGATTCAGTCTCGTGTAGCCCAGAGTGGCTGGGATTAAAGGTGGGTACCACCACTGCCTGGCCTCTGTGGCTAACTAGTGTGGCTAGCTTTGCACTCTGATTTCAGGCCAGCTGTATCTGTTAGATTGTAAGCAAAATATCACCGTAGCAAAACATCCATACTCATAAAATTAAATAATCAAAAACATATATGGCACCCTGTCAGCTGGGTCATCATACAAACCTAGAACCCCCAGACATGCCAGATGTGCTGACATCTGTAATGCTGTAATGCTGGCACTCAGGAGTTGAGGAAGTGGGTCCCCATATTCAAGGCTAGCCTGGACTACATAGTGAGACTCTGTCCCCAACAGGCCAGTGGAAAAATAAATAAATCCCTGCTATGTTTCAGAGCCACTTAAATTAAAAACTCCACAGATATGTATTTTTGAACATATGATAATGTAGGAATTACAGTCTTCATGAAATTTCTTAAAGCAAATTGCTTTTTAAAATTTCACACCATCAGTCAAATGAATAACTTATAAATAGAGATATTACAGTAAAATAATCGGTGGTGGTTGAATTGAATCTGATTAAACATTTCAGGAATAACATTTTTATCATGTCATGTGAGCACTTCTGTAATTGGATTAAGTACGGGGCGCTGAAGTACATGGCAAAGAGACCTTGGCCTGAATGAGGAGCTCAAGCAGAGAAAGCGGCAAATGTCAGGACTCCCCAAAGAGTATATGATGCTTACATTGGGACTTAAAGTCAAACGTTACCAGAAAAAGCAGAAGAGCATCGATCAAAGAAGGAGAGCATTTGGAAAGGTTGAAGCCATGATGATTGTAAATTTAAAATGTGATTAATAATTAGTTCATTAATATTTTATGAACTAGTTATTACTATTCTTCTGTTTACTCCAGGCTTTGAGGATTTGTGTAAGACTTAGATTCCCTCTTCTTACCTCTAAATAAAAACAAGATGTATTCAGTGTTACATGCAAACAAGAAGAACCATGTATCACTTAGTGCTTTTTTTTTGGGGGGGGGGAGATAGTCCTGGTTGTTCTGGAACTCACTTTGTAGACCAGGATGGCCTCAAACTCGATGAAATCCACCTGCCTCTGCCTCCCAAGTTCTGGGATTAAAGACACAGTGTGGTATTTATTTGTTGTGGTATTTATAAAAACTAGGGGATTCTAAAGTATGTGTAACATTGTTACATTGTTAAAGCAGTTGCCAGTGTCTGCACAGCCTTGGTCTTTACTGTTAAATGTGTCTGCCCCTAGCCTCTAGAC